TATTACATAAAATGAAAGAAGTTAAATAAGTTATCATAAGTATAAAAAAATAGTATGACTTATTTATAGATTTTAGTCAGATCTTATTTTCAGATAAATTGTCATCTGAGTCAAAATCGATTATAATCGAACTTGCATAATATTGCATGATCTGTAAAAATTAAAGTACATATTATCTGTATTATACAAGTTCGATTTATTTACATTAAAAAAAAAAAAAAGATAATATATCAGAATACTGATAGCTTTATTTTATCTAATTATGATTTATATACAATACACTAAAATATTAATGACTACAATTATACAAAGAATAATGATTAACTGATAACTATATAGTCTAATTTGTTTATAATTTAAGACCTATCAGTATACTGATATTTTAAATAGATTAAAAAACCAATTAAGTAGAATTATTAAAAAAAAGTAGAATAATCAAAGTAATTATCAAAACAAAAATATAGTTGTCAAAACAAAAAAGTTTAGAATATAGGTACTTTAGATATATTGGCATTCTGATAAGTTTGTCAATAAATCGAATCATATTATAAATAAGTTTACTTCTAATAAAACAAATCTATAGTAAATCAGGTATTTTTCTTTTTCTTGCAAAATCACGAATTTCAAGTATTTTTCTTTTTTCCTATATCTTTCTTTCTTCTCACTTATATTTTCTTAAAATATATTTTTCACTTGTCCATAATTTTTTTCATATCATAATGGGTTACCAAAAAAGATTTTTCATTAAAAAAACTATTGACAAAGCAAATTATTTCAACTCCTCAAAAAACAGCCTCCGTAAGGCTTGTTATTGCAATAATTGTAATAGTAATCTTGTTGATTCAGGAACAAAAAAAGCCTATATGTTAAAAAATAGCTTTATAGATATAACAAGAAATTATCGTGATGCTGGTGAATCTTTAAATAGGGCTGCGGTTACTTCTACAAATGCGCTTCCAGAAATAAAAATTCCAGAAGACCTTTCAGATATGGATATTGATGAACCAATACATATTGATAGTTCGAAAGAGCTTCTGGCTATTGATGAATCAATGCATATTAATAGTTCAGACAATGATTTGGATGTTTCTTTATATAAAAAAAATTATAGTTTTACTGCTAAAAGTTAACCTAAAAAGGAAAAGAAACTAGTTGGAAACAAGAAAAAGAGAGGTATACCAAATCTTACTTTCATAGAGAATTTTTTCTCTGACGAAGAAGATGTCATTGAAGACTTATCAGATGATGAATTATCGGACCAAGAAATCAGATTTAATGTACTGGAAAATATTGAGGAAGAAACAGAACAACCAAAGCAATCTTTTGGTCTTATAGATATGCTTAAAGGTTTTGTTTGGATCTTTTTGTGGATTTTAAAATATCAAGAAAAGTATAAGCTACCTAATACAGCTACTAAATCTCTAATAAAATTTATCTGGTATCTCTTAATTCTTCATAATGAAAAAACATATTTCTTTTTTTCTTCGTCACTGAAAATGGCACGAACAAATCTTGGCGTTTATGCTCACATGATCAAATATACAACATGTGAGCAATGTTGCAAATTATACAAAGTAACAGATATATCAACCACCAAACCAAACATAGTTCCTAAAATAAGCTATTGTACTTTCTAAAACCTTCCAAATAATCCAATGGCCAATAAAAGAAGCCCTTGTAGTTACCCTGTTTCAAAAAAAATTAATATATCAAAAGGTGTCATATATAGACCATCATTAATTTTTCCAATGGTGTTTTTAAAATATCAATTTTAGTTGTTATATAACTGGAAAGAGTTTGAAGCATCTTGTAGAAAATAGGCAGAAAGACTTAATGACCCTAAGCGTCTTTCTGACATATTTGACAGAAGAATTTAAAAAACTTTTCAAGACTCAAATGAAGATTTACCATTCTTTCAGAAGAAGCTATCGGATCATTATTTGGGTTTGATAATTAATTTAGATTGGTTCCAACCATTCGATAGTTTCTCATATAGTGTCGGAGCAATCTACAGCGTCATATGCAATCTTCCACGTGATGAATGATTTAAACCGGCAAACATATTGATATTGGCATTAATACTCAGACCTAACGAACCTAAACTACATCAACTAAACCATTATCTAGCACTATTAATTGATCAATTGGTTGATTTGTGGCATGGTAAGTAATAAATTTCATATCATATAGGATTAAATCTATTATAGGTGACTCCGGTAAAGTTTTACAATTGCTAAACGTGTCATGAGATCATATGTAATTTTGGTCAAGTCATGTGATCTCATGATATGGTTTAGCGATAATAAAACTCTACTGAAGTTATCTATAATAAACTTAGTTTACCAAGTCTTTAGTATTATTCTAATTAACATAAATTTAGGAGTAGAATTGTCAAGCACTTTCGAAAGCTCTACAGGCAAATTTATTAGAGCCACAGTAATATGTTGTTTTTGTGACATTCCTGCTACAAGAAAGCTATGTAGACACATTTCAGCCAGAATTGCTTGTCACAGATGTTTAAAGAAAGCCAATTTTGATCAAAAAAATTAGCCCAACTTTGGTGGGTTTGCCGATATAGATGAATGGTTTGTTGAAAGAAATATCAATAAAATTCGTCAAAACACCGGCACATAGAAGGATTGTAATACTGAAGATGCAAGGTGGAAGCATATATCGAAAACTTTAGTCTGTTGGTCAGAAATTTACTATCTCACTTATTTTAATTTGGTTCGGTTCCTTGTAATAGACCTAATGCATTGCTTATTTTTAGACATTGCTAAGTAGATTATTAAATTATGGATAGATAAAGGGATTCTAACACCACATGATCTTGCTCTAATAGAAAATCAGGCTAAAAAAATAAGGTTCCAACAGACATCGGCAGAATCTTTTACAAAATCGCAATAGGTGAAGGCTTTTTAGGGTTTACTGCAGACCAATGAAAGACTTTCATTCTGGTGTATGCAACGTCTATTACTTGGAACTTGCTGCGTGAAATTGATTGACAAATTCTTACCTATTTTGTTTGTGCATGTTCTATATTGGTATGCTGAATCGTATCTGTGGATGGTTTAGAAAAGCTTTACTAATATTTTCTTAAAATGGTGAAGCTCATTGAAAAAAATTATGGACTCAAAAAAATAACATCTAATTTATATTTATGTTTACATATATGTGAATGCGTTATAGATTACGGACCATTATATGTATTTTGGTATTTTAGTTATGAAAGAATGAATGGTTTGTTAGGTAAGTTGGTGTTATAAAATTTAAATGAATATCACCAAAAGAAAATATACATATTATATATAGTATATATATATATAAATATGCATGTTTTCTTTTGACAACACTCAAATAGTCATATTAAATAACCCGATAGCTCATATAGATTATACAAAAATTTATAGGGTCGTTTCATAGTAGCAACAGAAGAATTGAGCCAGAGTTTATTAGAATTATGCAATGTAATTCTCTTCTTGATAAACTTTTATCACATACAGATGGTCATTTGAAAAAACTTGTTTGCAGTTTATTGAGCATGAAACAATGAGCAATAGCCTTTCTATGCATAATAGAAATGATCACCAGGAGTTTCTGCTAATATCTGTGAATGTTGAAAAAAATTCCAGAACAGGCTCTGAACCATTCTCAAGTAAATTACTAGGTTCTAAAAAGGATCAACAGAAACTTCTGAGACAATTAATATCATTGTTAACAGACTATTATAACAATGCATATGATTATAATTTTGTTTCATTATCTGAAACACATATCGGATTACTGGCATCTATAACAATATTACCCGGCATTACGATTTATAGAAGGATAAAAATTGGGGATGAAATATTTGGGTTAACTTTTTCGAAGAGACATATGAAGTCAGCAAAAATACTCACAAAATTCATATTGGATAATAATAATATTGACATATATCTTGGCATCGTCTAATATTATTTTAAACATGTGGTTTATCTACTAGAAGATCTAAAAAAATATGTATTGGTTTTTGTATGATAGTATTTAGCTATTGATGATCTAAGGATAAGATATCATTGCCAAATCGGTAATATTTGTAATATTGAACTATAGAATAAAGAGTACTATAGCTTAAGTAGAGATTGTATTATCCTCATCTATAATATTTTAGGCAGATTTATATCTGAAACAGTTGTAGTTAGAAAAAAAAACTCACGAGAATATATGTTTGTCATTCCAGTTAATAGAAAGTTTTATATTTAAATTTGTAATTATTTAAACAAAATTTAAAAGTTTAGTATCGATAGTATCTGATATTTTCATATATACATAAGGTTTATCAGCTAAATTTCAAATAATTATAGATATAAATCTGTTATCAGTATAATATAGTTTTTATCCGATTTATTAATTACTGATATAGCTATCGGTACTTCGATATTTTACTGATATTACTTTAAAATATCTATAACTATTTAAGTAAAATCATAACTCTATAAATTTATTGATAGATATATCAAAATTTTGATATGTTTCTGATTTTATTCCTATATTATTAAGGCATATCAGGATATTTTTGGATATACCAATAGGTCTATCGGTATTCCTGATAGCTTCATGATATTTTGATACTAGATATTGGCACATATCGGCTCCTGATATGTCTCCGATTCTTAACCAATATACATATTCCTGATATGGCTTCATTCAACCTGTGTATATTGAATTCTCATTTGGTTAATAAAGTAATCACATAGATGTAGAGAGTTTAAATAGATAACCCCCTAGTTAGATTATAGATATGACATCTAGCGTAAAACTTAGTAATAAGCAGACTACTTAAAATAGACAACCAAAAAGTTGTATATGTGACTAGTTGTACTTTTCAAATATGTATACAGTATAAAAATTATACTGTAAAAATTATAACTATAACTGAATAAAGAAACATAACAAAAAGGTCACCTTAACATTGAAAAAAAAAACAAATCAAATAAAAATCAATTTATTTTAGTTATTACCATATGGTTTGTAATTTGATTCCACTGATTCTTGTTTCTTTTTTGTGAATGGCAAGCTTGAATTCTTCTTTCTGCACTATTCTCAACTATAGTCAAGTCTAACACCTCATTTTCTTCAAAGAGCATATTTGATATATTGAAATATTCTATAAAACTAAGAAAATAAAAAAATTAACGATAGCTTAAAATTGTTGTTTACAAAGAAAAAAAAATTACATACTTTCGAACTTATAAGATTCCTAATTTTTATTTATATAACAAGCTTCCTATTAATGGTGAAATAAATGGTTAACCCAAAAAAAGAGTATTGAACTTTGGACGTCAAAGTGCGGCAAAAAGAAAAAAAATTATGTAAAAAGAACGATTTTGTAATCTTTTTTATTTAGTTTCTGTGAAATAAGATAACATGAAAAATTTGTAATACTTGTCAAAAACAGTGATTTTATGTGTTTCACATAACACTGCAGAATTCACATAAATATGCTTATATCATACAATATGATGTATATCACCGCAGAATACCATAAGAATTATCACATAATTTGGCAAATTGATAATAAAATCTAATAGATTTGGTATTTCACAATGTAAAATTTAAATGAACTCAAATTACGAGAAAAGTTATAAAAATTTTCGAAACAAAATCCAAAAAACTTCAACAAATTTTGCTACAGAATCGCATATAATTGGGCATATAATCACACATAATTGGCAAAACACATCACAGAAAATCAATATCCCTGATACTTGTTTATATGAAAACCTAGCTATAGTGAAAAAAAGTTGCAGTTACGTGACTTAACCCAATCTGCGAAAATTAAAACAATCGAATAAGTGCTATATTTAAAACAATAAACTCTATCGTTAGGGTTAGAAGAGAAGTATATCCCATACCAAAATTTTGCAAGGAATTTTTTTTGTTAGAGCGCAAGAGGCAGTTTTATCAGCGATTTTTCAAAAAAACAAAATGTGTAATTTTCACGTTACATATGATCTTGCGATCTAATTGGCTAGATTGCCTCAATCATGTGACTGCAACTTTTTTTTCGCCATGGTTAGCGCGAAATCTATAGACAGTTCTTAGGGACAGTTCTAGATCACGTGATACTACTAAAACCAATAACCCTAACTGGAGTTAGGGTGTCCAGGATTATGCGATACAATAGGGCAAATTATGCCTGCGATTTGGGGTCAATTATGCGGTAGATGTGAAATAAATTTAAAATTATGCGAAGAAAATAGGCGATTATGCGATTTTTATAGTACCGAAAACGCACAACTTATACTCCTGTTAGAAAAAAATTTTTATTATTAAGTCAACTATTAATTTGTTAGGTATCTTCCATAACAAATAACTGAAATGTACAGTACGTACTCAGCACAAACACGGGAGAGTATAAATCAGAGGGTACCAATTACAGAGTATCTTGCCTAACGTTTTATAGTATTAGAGTATTATGCTTCATATATTATTCTTTTACCTTCGGAATAATTCAGATTTTGATCAGTTTGTTCATTTTCTACATCAGAACTTTCCGGAATTTCTTCTACTCAAATTATACAGTATCTCAAAAAGCATATCAACCAATCATGTTTGAGCCACATGACCTAATGTGTTTTTTTGCTTAATTATGCGAAGCATATATGATGCGAAAAAATGGTTGATTATGCGCATAACGCCGCATCGCATAATCCTGGACACCCTAACTGGGGTACATTTATGTACCCCTGCCCGATTTGGAAATTACGCTTTCTATCCAATCAGCGTCTATTACGTCAAATTTACATGAACGATCAGTGTGTAATGTTAAAATTAAAAAATTGATCATTTTTTTTAAAAAATCGCTCTTATCTTGAAATTTCGCTTATGAAACTAACTTCTGCGTTCTAGCAAAAAAAATTCCTTGCGAAATTTTAGTATAGTTTCTTTTTTAACGCCTTACACTTACTCTAACATTAACTCTAATACTAATTGACAGTATTTTTTTTAAAAAAACAAATACATATCGAAATCATATAAACAACAATGATCATTTCCATTTTGGGCGGGGGGGGTACATAGATGTACCCACCCTAACTGTCCCTAACTACTATTCACGTGACCACGCACTGTCCCTAAGAACTGTCCATAGATTTTTCGCATAGCTAGAGTTTTATGTTTATACTGCAGTTAGGAAATATACCAAATTTGGTCAATGCCAATCGCACCTTATTTGGTAATGATCGTCAGTAGAATTATTCTAGATTCCATTTCTAGATTGTTCCACGAAATACAACTCTTGGATATAATGAACCTTAATATAACAAACTCTGGCCATAACAAACTCGAAATTTTCAAATTTTAATATTAGATCGATATAAAAAGAGCAACAACTCTTAAGAAAACATAGTAATTTTCTTATGAACTCTTTTGGGGCCAGAACCGTCAGTTCATTATAAAAAGAGTTGACTATATATGCGAACTCAAAAAAAAAAACTTTGCGAAAACCCACTTTTTTATACATGCAAATAACAAAACCATTTTATAAAAGCAAACACCACCAATATACTTATGGCCCGAAATCTAATGTAACTGATTTGTAAGAATTTGTGATCTTTCGTAGGAAGTTTTGTGATGTGGAAGCATAAATACTGGTTAAATCGACACCAAAAGTAAAGATTATTCGATATATTCAGATAACAGCTTAACTTTATATTAAGGATGTACCGTAGGCTCAAGAAAAAAATTTT